TAACAATTAAACGTACAATGGCGGACTTAATGCCACAGGCATTTTCTCCCAGTCTACCTTTGGGTGGTGGGGAAAAGTCTAAATAGGTGCACTAATATTCGCAAAGCCATACAATGTCTAATACTCTATTCATACATAGAGTACTGATATCTAAAAAATTATAGCCATTAAATGTTAGAAATATTATCCAAGCTGCGGCACATATCCTGAGAGAAAACCAGTGTTATACAATTCTTGCGTTGTTTTCCACTGAGTGGATTGTGAGAGGGTTATTTCTAGAGTTGCCGCGAATAGTGGTTATAGCGAATAGTCGAATACCGATTAATCGCCATTCACTTTGGCGAATAGTCGAATAACTCGACATCACTATTCGACATAAAAAACACATTAAAAATATTTCTAATTTCTTCTAAGGTTGTGAGAAAAGAAAACAATAAAGTTAAAGAAATCTGTTTCGTGTTATACATATTTACATATATGTAGTAAATTTAATTTTCCACTTTTAAATGCTGGCAACCCTTTTCATAGTTTACGGGGAATACCCCGTTTTGTATAACCCAGCGTTTATTATTATAGGGGATTTCCCGCTCGTTCAATACGCTTGTGTTTAGGATAGGCGGCACGCATTTGTTATTTGATTTTAGACATCGGTTGTCGTGTTTTTATTTCTATACTTATTTAAAAATTGCTATTGAATTAAAGACTTGATGAATACTTAATTAGTTAAAGTGTTACTTAAAAAGAAGAACAATCATGCCTAACCCAGGAAAAAATCTCATGTTTGGATACATTTTGAAGAGGAAGAGTTAGAGAACAGTGCAAAATGTGTTTTGTGTGGTGTCAAAATAAGTAGAGCAGCAAAAAAAGCAGGAACAACGGCTTTGCAGAATCATTTAAAATTCAAACACCCAGGTTAGTTTTTTTTTACTTATATTATTTATTTTACCGTTACTAAGTAATAATAGAATTTAGTAAGAATATAATATTTGTTTCAAAAGTTATTTTCATTTATGAAATATATTGTACTATTGTGAGTTTGTAGCACATTATTTAAATAATTGCCTCTACCTACGTTCCTGATTAAGGGTTCTTTTCTTTGTTCGCAGATGAGTATTGTAAAATTTATGGAAGCTCAAGTAGTCATGCTCAACATAATGCTCCCGCAGAGTCATCTTCAAGTACCTCGTCGTCCACCCAGTTGCCCAGTCAGCCTTTGGTGTAACAGTCACTGCAACAACTACTTGAAAAAAAAAAAGCTCTGGGACATCAACGATAGCCGAGCAAAAAGATATCACTACTTGATTGGTGAAATGATTGCTGTCGATAACGAGCCACTTTCCATCGTCGATCATCATGTGGGCTTTAAACGTCTTATTAATAATGCTTTGCCGCAATACACCATTCCTGGCAGGACATATATCACCGAGAAAATAATTCCAGACATGTATGAGAGAGTGGTTAACAAACTAAAAAACGAGTTAGAAAGGGCTGAAGCTATAGCATTCATTAGCGATCTTTGGACTTCTTCCGAATAATACTAGCTATTATTCGGTATTCGACGAATATAAAAAAAATGACGAGTAATGCCGAATACCGAATAATAGCGAGTATTCGCGGCAACTCTAGTTATGTCAAGCCCAATCTTTGTCCTCTGCGCCTACCTCTCTGTGTTGACGCCCTTTAAGACAATTTCCAGACAGCAATGCAAGTGTGTCTCTTGACTTTCAGGTGTCCATCAGATCCATCAACTACTTAAAAAACTTAATAGTTTGTTTATCGTTTCAATTTTAAACTCACCTTTAACAAGTGTTGGGTCCAAAGTCTAGTGATTTACCCGTGGTCCTTTACTTCTTATAATATTTTCCGATGAAGCTACAAGAAAACTCAACTTTATCCTTACTTATTAAAGTTGTAGTAATCATGACACCAATCTTGTTTTCCTTTATGTATACCTAACAAATCATCATCTGCGTCAAGGCGTGCTATATATTTGGGAAAGACCCATTTTTTATTATATTTTTTATTAATTTTTAGTTGTATCATACTTTTGGATATAATCGTATACTGTAATTAAAAATATTGCCGACAAACAGATAATTCGCAGATGCCTTAATAATCGTTGTGTTGCGTAAATCATTATTTTTGCCATTAAATAAGTAGATTGGATTTTTTTTTCAAGTTTTTGACTTGTATGCGTAAATGCTGGCTGTGTGCTATCACTAACTGTTTTTCTGCATATCAATGACACGTGGCAAACTAGTAGCATCCATTGCTGATTACGGAAGATGTCCTTTACACCGGGCGCCCCAATATTCCTCGGGAAAACGTCATCGAGAGTCGAAACAAACTTGTGTCTGAAATTGAAACTTCCTAAGCGGAGGTTTCAGATTGGGGACTACACAGGTCACCGCAAAGAATATACCATTTGTCGTATCACCTCGGTTTGAGAGCTCCTACCTAACTGCCTCAGCCAGTATCGGAATCCTAGGCATCGACATATAGAGCGAAGTCCAGTTTCGGGGTCACATTGAGGGTAAGGTCAAATTGGCCTCGAAGAATCTCGGTGTGCTGAACAGATCGAGGCAGTTTTTCACTCCGGCCCACCGCCTTCAGCTTTATACGGCGCAAATCCGTCCGCATATGGAATACTGTTCTCATCTCTATGTAAGGGCACCTCAGTACCAACTTCTCCCTCTGGACCGCATCCAACGAAGAGCGACTCGAGTCGTCGATAGCCCAAACATCTCCGATCGGCTAGATCCTTTGGCGTACGTAGAGATGTGGCTTCACTCTGCATTCACTATCACATATATCATGGAGAGTGCTCCGAGGAATTTGCTCGAACTAATGCCGACCGCAACTTTCCGTCATCTTTCCACACGGCAAAATTTTCATCCCTATCACCTGGATAGTTGGCGCTCCACTACTGTGCGCTTTTCGAAACATTTTGTACCATACTTCAAAAGGAAAAACCCAGAACCCTTATAGGATTACTTTGTTGCCCGTCTGTCTGTCTGAACGTCTGTATAACATTAAAAAAAAAATCTTTTAAAATCAATCAATTTAATGTGCCGTCTGCATTCTTACCTTAACCCGTCAGTGACATATCTTTCAAGGAATTATTGTTGTTTGTTATTGAAAGGAGTTTCATTAAGTTTCATATTTTAATGTGTATCTAAATGTTTATACAGGTAAACTACTTCTAAATTGGCCTATTCAAACACTCAAATATTATTCTTACTTTTTTAATATAATAATATATAATAATATTCTGCCACATTCTACCATATTCTACCACATTCACACAACGCCATCTAGTCCCGAACTAAGCAGAGCTTGGCTTGTACACTATGGGTAGTAGACAACTGATATAAATACATTAAATACTTTTTTCTTTATTTGTAATTACATATATGTTCATGCACTCAAATATTTGACTTGAGCGTTAATCGAACCCGCGACCTTTGGAATAGCAGTCCGTTACACAAACCACTACGCCATCCGGTCGTCGACAAATCTAGACAAATCGCTTGTTCTATAAAATAGGACTAAAAGTACTAAAAATCTTAGGTGAATCCAGCTTTTGAAATATTTCCTTAGCTGGTTTTCAAGAAATATAAAGGTTTTCCCAACAAACATTTTCCTCGTTTTAATCAAAAGCAAAATTAAATTTAATTAAAACTATTTTGTAAAAATAATGAAAATTCGTGTTATGATGTATAGGTAGGTACTGTACTTACCCTCTAAGTTATGCATTTCATTTCACAGACAGCGTTTATACAAAATCACATTTTAAAAATTTTGGGATAGCTCAAGTCATATGTTGATAATTTAAGGTTGCCGGCTAAGTTAAAACAACCATTACTGTTTGACTGTTTTAAATTGTATGTTTAGCCTAATCATTGACAAAGCAACCTCTAAGCCACTTTTACTTATCTGCTGGTGAGCTCTGTCAGTCTAGTTTTATAACCATTTGAAACTTAAAACTAAGTAGTTTCTTGCTAAACGAATCATAATTAAACATGACATAGGCCCATTAGGCTGGAATTACACCTTCGATTGCCCGGTTAACAAGCTCGAGTATGCTAAACATTACTTTGGTGTTGTGACCCTTACCTTGAGAAGTCAATGGCAGAATTCAGATCGGTACAACATGCGGGCGTACATTTTATTCGTATGGTTTTAAATTCTGTAATTACTTGGTTTAGTTATTATGCTGCTATTGGTCGGCCCGATCGCAGCTGGTACTGAGGCCTCCTCTCACTGGTGTACATTAAGATGGCGTTCTATCTCTTATATTTTTCTCAATTTTTATAAAAGCTATCACCATTGTTATATTTTCTTAATATCATCTCTATGCAGTCTTGAAGACATATTTTAAAGTTAACGATTTTATAGAAGCTGTCGCTACCTTCAACAATGACCTTAAGAGGTAAGGTAGGTGAGGCAGGGTTTTAATACCCGATTCTTGAATAAACGAAGTCCCATTCTAAGTTAACAGATTTATAATTCTGTAGCATTAATGTTGCAAGATGGTCTATGCGCTTTTGTTGATAACTGGCCATCTGGAAACACCCATATCGAGAAACGCCTCTTGCTTTTCGGATCGTATTGATGTATCCATGTTTCGTCGCCAGTAATGATTTCAGAAACACGTCTTGACCTCCCATTTTCAAAACGTAGACGCATCTCACTGCACCATTCCACACGGACTTCTTTTTCATTTCGGTGAGCAAACGACAAGTCTGACTTTTTATGATGATACATAGCCAACATCTTCATTGTTAAAAATTACACTACGAGTCTCTCCAACATTCGGTTTTGTTACATGTTTTTGGACCGAATACTCATATTAAAATATGTTAGTATATACAAGTAGTATATAACATGACAGTGCTATAAAAAAATAAAATAAAAGATAAATGTCCTGTCCTTTATTTATTATTAATATGGCTGAAGTACTCGTATAGTCCAGTTTTATATAACTGTTTAATAACCCATTATTGTCCATAGTGGTTCTGAAACTTTTGAATTACTTCCAAAAGGTTTTTGGCACTACAAATTTCATTGTTAGCCATTGTACAACCATGCCTTAAAGGGCATTCATAACCTGCTGATAGTACAGGAACTGTACAACAAGTTAAAGTGGCAACGTCGCAGTCAGTGGGCTTGCGGCCTTGATTATTTTGGGCTTTGTCGGCTGGAGGATTCCCATGCTCAACAGAAGGTACTGGCCTAGATTGTGTGTAATTTTTTCTGATAACAACTAACGAAAGCGGTCTATTGTTTTCTGAATCTTCTTCATACGTATGCGGTCCCCAGTTTTGGTTTAGGTCTTCAAATTCCGTCACTACCATGCGCCAAAGATGTGCTTGTAACACGAATATGGCGAAAATAATGGGGACTATCATCGCCATCTGAAAAAAAGTATGATTTTCCTTCAGACATACATACAGTTTTGAGCAGTATTGACGTTAAGAAATTACCATGTTACTCTTAATATATTATGTATAAAGAGATATAAAGAGAAGAAGAGAGATAACAAAATTCCAAAACTTGTTTCTTTCAAACTACTTTTGGTCGATTACAAATTTACTATTTAAGTAATTTTTTGAACCGTAAGATGACTATATATTACATGTATTATTAATTATTCATATAAGTAGTAGTTTGCTTTATATATATATATTTATTTAAGTTTATAAAATAGCTTCTTTTGATAGTAGAATAGCGTGCCCTGAATGAATTTGCCCTAAATGTAGTTGAAAGAGCTTCATTATTGTAATAATAAATATGGGGGCATAGATTATTCCTGTAAAACTTAATTTAATAATTTTGAATTTTGATGACTTTATTATCTGCATTTATTTATGTTGGTATTACTGTTTTTTTCAATAAACTAAGGTATTGGGAGCCAATTTTTTCGGTTATGGATGGAAAGATGCCTCACTATAGGGACTTATGCCAATTCAATATAGGTAATACGACACTCAGAGCCATAATAATAAACACATATATGTGTGTATGTATATGTGCCTCTAACAAAAAATATCTAAAAAAACAGTTTTCAAACGATAATTTATTATTTAATACTTTCTCACAATAATCGCTTACGAAACATTAACAAATGAAACATTTTCTTCATAGGTAGACTTTTGCTTTTTTGCCTTTTTCAGCATTGGGTGAGAAGTAATCTTCGTTTTTACTGCTTGACCAATTAATAGCTTATCTGTAATCTCTGTCATAATGTTCACTTTTAACTACTAATATTTTTTTCTATCAGCCATTTCGCCATCTGTGTTTTTTCATTTGAGTTATGGTTGTTTTGTTTTCTACATATCTGCGTTCAACTTCAGCATGTTCACAAGTTCTGCAGTTTAGTTTAAAGAAGTGGTCTGAAGCAGTGCTGTTGTAGTTTGATGAGGGCTTCATCTAGGCTTTTCAGGATCGTTTTAGTGAAAAAGTAAATTCCGTTCCTTCTAAAGCCACTAAGAGTATTTGCAGGGGTAGCGGCGCGTATCCATACATTGTGTTATAATAATTATAATAGCATTACAACGACTTACCGTTTCACCTTTCTCTGGATAAGCCAAAAAGTCAAAGGATTCCCTTAGAGGGGAATCAATCTGTATCTATTGAAAATTCTTGGCGACTATCCTTAAGGCTAGGGATAGATGTAGGTAAATTTCTAGTAAAATAAATGCAAAAAACCGGTGACTGACTGATTCCTAAATGTGTTTTTTAAATGCAATTCATTTAAAATACAATGCCTCCAATTGCCTATATAAATGTGCTGCAAAATTAATGTACCTATTTTTGTAAAAACAAACATCGGTGTACATTGAAGTTTATTCTATTCAATCACTACTTATGAAGATATGGAGCAGTGAATACTTACATATTAAATTTTGAAGCGTCCTTATATATTCCTACTTTCAGACAGACTAGCGAGAAACATCCACACTGACAAACTGATTGCGTGTCAATAAGGTAGAGAGCGCATAAGACGAGTTTTTAAACAACTCATTTACTGTTTTGTTTTTTGGTAATTGGATTTTTAGAAACAAAGTTTTACCCTCTATCTATATATACGTACCTACATACATACATATAATAATTAATTGTTTAGTTATAAAAAAAAAATACAAAAATATATTTAAAACACCCACATTTTAAGGACTATAAATTTAAGTCCCACTTACATTATAATTAGTAGCAAGAGTATTGCTTATATTTTTACCTACACATTGCAAATATGACAATTTTTTGTTTAATCTAAACTGACAATCGCATTAGATCAAATAATTTTACGTCATGAAGGATGGTTTTTTATTCTTAATGTTTCCTGCTACTGCTCGAAAACAAGGTCGAGTCGACTTTATTCGATTTTGAGAAGGCAAAAAAGGAGTCACAATTCTTTTTTTTTCGAGTGCAGTTAGAATGTTCGTGAACTAAGAGCTATTTATGTGATCAGTCTTAGCTACTACGAGTACAGGAGAACTGGTTGTCACATATCATGCAATTTATTCCCTAAACAATCTATTGGCATTCTATTGTTATACCTACGTACTTTGTTGTATGAGGACCTTATTCGACTGATTTCATTTGATTAAATAACTTATTCCGAAACTAAAAACTTCAAGAAATGGCTCACATGAATTTGTCATGTGAGTCATGTTCAATGGTGAACAGATCGATTTCATTGAATATATCAGTTTTAGTTTGTAAAGCATTTGCATTACCGTGTCATCACATCACATCACATCAACAGCCTTTACTAGTCCACTGCAGAACATAGCCCTCTCCTTAGAAAGTAGGTTTTGGCCTACTATACCACGCTGGCCAGACGGGTTGGTATAAGGTTTGTTTCAAGTTTTCCTTCTCTTTGATTCTTAATCCGTCCTTGGTGTACGGCAATAGGTTGATGATGATGATGATCCCTAATTTTTCACATTGATGCTTTAACACAGAATTAATGCACAGAATTATATTAATATAATTAATTGTATTAATTCATTATTATTTACTACAATACTCTGCAGATTGGTAAGTCATTAAATTAATAGGCAATATCAGTGGATCAGTAGATCAACTCATCAATTTCATAATAAGCTTTATTAGCTAGAAATTTCTTTAATTTATTTTTAAATATACGATTATTTTGTTTTTTTAGAGTCTAGGAATTTTAGTATATACTAGCTGGGCCCGCGACCGCGACAAAATAGCCTTAATTATCCCTTATATAGACAGCTACCTAGTAGTAAAATATTATCAAAATCGGTCCTGTCGTTTACCGAAACAAACAGACGAAGATAACCCGGAACAAACAGACAGATAGACAGACAGAAATATTTAAACTGGTTTTTAGGCATGGGTATCGTGCAAATGAAAAAAACTATTATTTTGACATTACCAACAGACACTTCAATTTTATTTATTTGTATAGATTTTTGGGTCCAGACAAAATATTTTTTTATGCATTAGTGAAGTTATTAATATATTTGGGCAAAGTTTACTATTCTTCAAGCATCGCTTCTGGGCTTTAAGTACTCGTTCCTTATTAGTAGTATTTCCCCAAAAGATAACGCCATATCTAAGATTGGACAAAAACAGACCATGGTACGCTGTAAGGTTGCATTGTATGTCCGGCAAAGCTATTTGGATCATGTCAGAATACTAATTATACTATCATTGAGAGAAGGTTGTATTGTGACAGTACATATAAATAGTACATTCGAAAGTATAGATAAACTGCCAGTGAAGATTTCATCCACGTTACTTGGATAACTGGCACTCCACCACTCTGCACTTTTCAAGACACTTTTTGCCTCGCACAACCAATCTGTGGAACAAATTATCATCTGCGGTATTTCCGGACCGATGCAAGTTTTTAAACCTTCAAGAAAAGAGCGTACTCCTTCGTCAAAGGCCGGCAACACGCTTGGGACTCCTGAGTTGCAGGCGTTCATGGACGGCGGTAGTTACTTTCCATCAGGTGACCCGTCTGCTTGTTTGCCCCCTCTGCCATAAAAAAGGAGAGAAGAGGGATAGGGGATATATTTCTGTTTGAATTGAACACTTAGACATTTTAGTCAATTTTTAGGTAAATAATATATAACATATACCTACACTACTATTTCTCTTGGTTGTCACAGTACCTTTATATATGTCTAACTTTGCAACTATCACCATGCGTTGTGGTTGTAAAAGGATGTAAAGGATTTCGTTCTGTGGCCTTTATATGATTACCATGACCGAATGCGTCGTTATCGTTTTTATAAGAACCATACGAGTGGACCTCTGGAACGCCTGTCCATCAGACCGTGTGTGTTCTTATTTGTCTTAATCATAACTACATCTCTGATCCTACGGTAATGAAAATAATTTAAAACAATACATTGAATAAACCATATTGCAAATCTTTTCGTTTAATTGGAGTAAAATGAAACAAAGCTTAGGGTTGTATAAATATAAATGAATTTATTTTGTTATGTATTTCGATTATAACATAGGAACACCGTTGATATAAATATACTGTACATAGAATAAAATAAATAAAAACTGTTTGTACAAGACTTTGAAGTCTACTGAATTTCAAAAATGATTACTAAGTCTTAAGTGGTTGAAAATGATTCCTCTAGACAGTTTCTATATTATCCATGATCAATCTGTCTTATTAACCGAGAAATATTACATATAGACTATGTAATATACAGTGTACAATAACCAGCTTACACAATACTATTGTTTTAATGTGTAATTAAAAATTATACAAAAGAATTTCATGTTGTAATTTTCATTTACAAGACAGTATTATTGATTCACTAACATATGCTAGGATACACAAGAGATATCTTATTTTTCATCTAGACTTAATATCACAAAATGTATTTTGCTAAAAAAAAGATTTTTCTATGACATAAACTAAATTATTCTTTTTCTTGTCGTATTTGCTGAATCTATTATTATTTATTATTATTGTTATCTTAATACCTTTTGTAGATTTAATAAATTGAATCAATTTTTTTTGGTTCTTTTTTAAGTATTTATTATACAGTTGAAGTTTAACTACTTAAATCGAATTCACATGTGATGTTAAAAAAATCGTCTATGTTGCCATAGCGCACGTGTTTAATTTCAGGCACCATTATAATAGTTGAAATACGGTTATGGTTTGGCAACTTTGCATTAAATTGTCTACTGACCTTGACTGTAATGACCTGATCTGATGATATCATAGATGTACATCTAAACAAATTTTCTATTCATTCAATTCCATATGAGTGCTAGGCATTGTGTTCACTGAACTGTATGTTGATACAGTAGGTAGGTATATACAATAAAAATTAACACCTTCTCTCATAGACATTAATGCGTAATGTGGTCGAGTAGTACCAATATTATTACATAAATCAACAAGTTTATTTGTAATAGTAATAAATCTGGTATGTTCTTTGTTTATTTATTAATTTAACAAGGCCCTTTAAGTAACACCAATGTGTGCAAATGATGGCCAAACTTCACCAAAGCAATTACCTATAATAGTGTCACTTCAGAAATTTGACACGTGTCTCAAGATGTAAGTAAATAAACTGAGATTTACCTGTCAGATAAAATACTAAGAAGTTTCGTCTAACGAAAGAATTTTAAGAAAAACAACTTTCGTACCTAAAGTAATATAATTTAAGTTAAACTTTATTTAAAATTAACAAGTGTAAATTATAGACACTTTCTCAAAGGCGCATTTACAGAATGTTGACTATATTATTTAACTAAAACTTAGTTTCGTTGTTTATAAGGTGAAACATTCTAAATTTCAACGGCATTTTGCTAAAATATCCTTAGAGGATTACAATCCTCTCTTCCTTTAAAACATTTTTTAGCAAATACCTAAATATAAATCCATTTATAGAAATTGTCATAACAGTGTCTGAGGTTTGAATTAAACCCAAAATCAATTCGTAAAAGCGACTTTAAAAACTAATGGTCTTAAAATTCATCCACTTCTGCTAGCGTAAAACCTCTGGAGCCTTTCAATGATTCTCAGAATTGAATTAGTATCACAAGGATTTCCATAGGAGGTAATGTTTGGGCAACCTTGGATAGCGAAACAATCATAAGCAACCAGGGGTCGATGACAGCATGCTATGATGGCTGCGTCACAAGCTGTTGGAGCTGCAAGAGGATATCCATTTTGTGGTCTTGATGGTGGTGGTCGCATGGGATTAAATTGTCCAAAGGTAGGACGAACTGTTGAAGGTGGGGGAGAACGAGTAGTCGAAGGTGGAAGGTTCGGAGGTGGAGAAGAACGGTCGTTTTGTGGACTAGAAGTTTCTTGATTACCAGTGACATCACTTTGAAGTGTTCCATGTTCAACAGGAGGTGAGGGCCTTGAAGTTGGCTGATTTAGTCTGATAGGATCAAAAGAAATTGGTCGGCTGAATTCTTGGTTTGGCGTTCTTTTTTCGCCCGTTCTGTTGATGAAAAATCCCCAATTTCGTCTTTCGTCATCCATTTCTGAAAAGCGATTCGTTAAATTAGTTTTCTCGGGTGATTCTTCGTTAGGGGTCACCGGATAATTTGTTTGACCACCTGGTGTGTCAGTTGATGGTTCAGTTGGGCGATCAATTGGTCCATCGGTAGATTGATCCGTTGGTTGATCAATGGGTTGATAATTATTTGGATTACAGTTGCAGTCAAACGGGGGTACAAATAGTACTGGGTAAAATATTGGTACGTGCGGTATCCTTGGGGGTTGTGGTTGTCTCACAAAGTTGGCTATTTCCTGTACATGTCTATGAATTTGTTCTAAGGGATCTTCTATACCATAGTTTCCAACATTTCCATAATCATCTCTTTTAGTAAACCCGGGGTATACTAGTGGATTTATAGGAGGAAATCCATAGGGATTGTAATAACGTTTTTCACGGACATTTTCTATAGAACTTGCATTATCTCCAACTTCTTTTATGGGATCAAGCTTTTCACCAGCTACCTTAACGGTGGCGATTTCTTCTAGCTTGCCTACGTCACTTGGGGCAGCATTGACGTATATTTGCAAGATGAGAATGCCACAATATAACTGGCTTAGGACTGCCATCTGCAAAAGAGAAAAACGTTTTATTTCAATTTTGATTTAAAAAAAAATGAATATGAAAATATCGACACAACAAAAAAGCTTTAACTACTTTATACCTTCTTATCTCTTTGCTTTCTATTTTCGTTGTAGGCTGAGTTCTAATTGCATTAAGTTATTTTAACTTACTATATTTTATCCTAGCCGTAGTAATAATTATTATAACGCTGTTAGATATTATAAAGGCCAACTTGCATTATAATTATTGAGAGTCAGAAGTTGAATTTGTTGCTGACTTCTAAAATATCTGTTTTATGTGCAGTTTCCATTCAATACGCAAACCTACCATGTAATACAAAGGTAAGCAAATGTGTACCGGTACATAATTATGTGTACCTTTTTTTTTTTTTTTCTATATTATAATAGCCGGGGAACCAGGTATACCCTAGAAAGGAAGTCCCTGGTGCGGATCTTGTACCCCTAGTAATAAATGATGGATGGTTCCGAGATTTGTATCATTTTATTCGGCATATATAACGGTAACAAATTCCAATTAAAAATAAAGAAAACTCGAACTGCAAAAAAGTAACTATACGCAATAGAGCCGCTAATAATTCTTATGTTTTTATTCTTATACATCCGTATAATGATTCTAATGAATCCTCAAACATACAAATCTGTCAAAACTATGTCAATATTACACTGTCTGAAAACATTACACTTCTTTTTTGGACAGGCGTTATATGTCTTTAAATCTTCGACGATCGGTTTCCAAGACGGAAGAAATACCTATATACAATTCCGTTGCTTACGACAGTTAGGTAACAAGTCAGATTAGCACTTGTCCGGTTTTTTTTTCTGGATGAAAGGTAAACTTATTTTCTCTTTTGTATCTCAGACAAAGACCTTGTAATATTTGTGACTAAGATTGGTGGAGTAGTTAGGACGAGAAATAAACACTAACGTAGAACAAACACGACGTAACAAATATATATTCAAAGCACCTAATTAAACTAGTTTCAAAAGAATTTGTTTAAGAACAATAGAACCGACGACAGATGTTCACCCCATTCCCTAGAAAATTCAGTTTATATTTTGTAAAAACTGTCTCAGGCGTCGAGACATACGGTTTTTTGCCACATTCTCGTACATTGTCTACCACACAATTGGACCGCTGTTCGTTTTCCCAATCGTACTATAATATGATGAATAGAACGAGCACGAACATTTTCAATGTCTTAACTCTTGTTCAATATTTCTAGTTTCTGAGATGACTGCCCCGTTAAAAATCTTTAAGATGGTCATGACTTTCTAACGTTGTTGTGTATATCTGAAGAGGTAGTTTCATGTGTGATTGTTTTCTTTTGCCTCCTTTAGATTTAAATGATAGTTTCTGCAACTCTCTATAGGCGCTTTACAATGTATATATATACCAGAAGCGTAGCTGAGTAAGCCGATTTGCTGACCTGCTACTGAAGTGTTAAGGGTTTTTTCACTTACTATTCTTTTTCTAATATCATCATCATCAACAGCCTTTAGTAGTCCACTGCCAGATATAGGCCTCGCCTTAGAAAGGAGGTTTTGGCATTCTAATATCATAATTTTATTACAATACTGATGAATACTGACGTGACAATCACTTTACTTCACAGAGTATGTATGTGTCCGTGTGGTGACGGATTAAGAATACGGAGTGTCACTCCCCCTTATTCAGCCCATGGATGTCATATGAGTAAACTAAGGGAGCTAACTACGGAGGACAATAGCACTGCAAAAAGAAGGAAAACTTGAAACAAACCCTATACCCGTCGGGCTAGCTTGGTATAGTAGGCCAAAACGTCCTTTCTAAATAGAGGCCTATGTCCAGCAGTGGACTGTTAAAGGCTGTTGATGACGATGATGATGTATGAGTAGATATTTATTAAAGCAGTATGTAGTAAGTAGGTGGGACTAGAAAATAAAGCGTCGTCATAATTTATCATTAGATAAGTAGAATAATTATCATCAGATTAAAGAATTACAATGAAAGTCTTACTTAAGTTGCCTGACAACTAAACAACATTGAGACTAGTTAATGTGTACCTCTAAAAAGTATCACATTTTGCTACAGCGCTACCAAAAACAAAACCTTATTTTTAACCTGTGCTGTTGTTTTTTATGTATGCTCGGGCATAACTACGTCATATATAGACGAATTTTCAAAATTCTTTTTTTAAAATAGCCCCATTTAAATTTCATATAGATCTGATGATGAGTTTCGGAGACGGAACGGAACTCTTTAAAAAATTACAACAAATCAATCGCGATTGCTGCTAGGTTTTTACTGCTCTTTGTTAGTATTGTTTGAAGTCGGTTCAACTTTTTTTGAAAAAGGATTTATTTATTTCTTAAGTGAAAGTAAGTCTTGTCTTGTCGCCCTCTCTGTTTTAACAGTTTTAATAGTTTTAGAGACAACAGTCTCTCACGTAAGCTATAGCTGTGCATACTTTATTTATTTAATAACTTGTAAGTTTTGTATCAATGTATGAGAATGCGTCATAAATGCGACATAAAATATAATTACCTTTGCCTGTCTCGTCTAGGATAAACTGGCGGTGGTAAATGAAAAAAATCATTGCAGGGAAATCATAATTCTATATTCAGATCACAAACAATCAACAACAACTTTGAAACAATTTGACTCCTTGCGTAACTGTTGCATTTTTAATGATCAGCCTTGATTCACTCATGAATGTCCTATACAATGACAAGGGTCAGACGAGCAGAACAATAATGGCCTTTAAATTTCTCAGAGTTGTGCCCGTTTTGTACATTAACAGAAAACTAAAAGCTAGTTTTCGTGTTGAAGGCAAACGGACACAAATTAACCATTTCTAAGCATGTATTCTTAAGCAGTTTTTAAACAACGAGTCTATAAGGTCAGATTTCGTGTAAATAAGTGTATTTTTTTGTGTCTGTCACTATTTCACTCGTGGCCCTAGCTTGCTTTAATCAGCGAATTAGGAGTAGAAAATAATTCTTCACATATTTATATTGATTTTTAATTTATTGCTATTGTCGTTATCGGGACACATTATAGGTTCTTACATACAACCATTTACGGAAAAATGTGTATTTATTGCAATCTAATGATCGGATCGTTCCTTAGTAGGACTTTTACGACTAGAAACTTTTTTACCTAATAGGTGCATTTTATGGATGCCACTCCTTTCATAGTTTTAATCGAGTCTAATATAATTGCAATTATAAATAAAATAATTAAAATCTCCCTGACTCCAGTAAACTCCAGGACAAAAGATTTACTACCCAATCACTAAGGCTATTCGAAGGGGTTTAAACACGAAACCTTTGCTATAAGTGGTTGTTTTTTTGGGCACTTGATGAACTAAGTAGAGGAGTTTGGTTTCTCGCCAATGCCTTTGCTGGTAATATCTGTGTATGTTCAGGATACACACTATACACAGCCTCAAGCCGAAATGATTTTTAAAGATAAATGTACCTTTAAATACTATCAAGATCAAATCACCTTTTATACAAAAAGAGTGTTCCAAAATGGGGCTTTAGGATTTAGGTGCTATGATGATGGCAGACAGACACAAAATACTATTAAAAAAGACACATATTGCCGCCTGGTATGCCCCACAAGATTACAATAAATGTCTCGATGAATTGCCACAGCGCTAAGTGAAAAATCTAAAATATTTTAAAACAAGTGTATACGTCATTAAACATTTAAATAGTCTGTCACTAAGTAACAAATTCCTGAAAACTTGGCAAATAGGGTAATAAAATAAAAACTTAATTGCTTGGCATAGCGACGCTAACACTCATTTACGCCTCATTTAATTTGGCGGTCAGAGATGCATTTATGTGATGAACAGTTTTTGTATTAAATTTTGCCTGATTGTATATTACACATATTTTTTTCCATTAAAATAGTGTAAATTAAATTTATTATTATCATATCATAACTGGAACCATGTGTATAGTTCGCTTTCCTTAGGACAGAATATAAATAATAAGTCGGTTCATGACGCCTATTATTGCTTAGTCAGTAAAATAAGGTATCGTAATGTCGTGTCGATGCACATTTTATTAGATCTGGAAGCTTCTATGTGTGTAAAATCGCCTCAACTGAGCTGTTTTCAAGGGATATTTGTAGTGTTAGAGTGAAAAGTTTAGTAAAAGTGATAAAACTCAGTGTTCTGATTTTAAGTCGAGTAGTTATTAAATGTATAATATTAAAGTTTGATATAATGATAAAATTAAATTGTATGATATAAATTATTAAAACAACTCTTCTATGTCTGTATTTCTCTTACTCGTGACGGCGTGCGGGTTTTAGTCGGTTTAAATCCGATTTCCGCATATACAAAAAAAGGTGGCGAAATTAGATTATGATGATTCCTACTTATGCAAAATTGATACTGAGCCCTTATTTTTTAAATGAGTGGACTGTAACAAAACAATAAGATTCAATAATCTGAAGTGGCATGGTTTAAACTTGAACTTTTCTAAGATTGCCTATTTATTTATCAAGATTTTGTCTAGTCAGCCAAATGGAATGTCATTTATAAAGAAAATTCTTTGATTAGCTTTACTAATAAAAGGAACCTTTGTTCCTTTAACTGCTTTCAGTTCATCTTGCATTGTATATCAGTGTGTTGAATATTAATACAATTCCCTAGTCCCTGGTATATCTTTCGATCTCATTCTTACAGAAGTTTAAGGAATGATAAAGTGGTACCGGGTACAATTGTTTACTGTATGAGACTATATGGAGGAGCTTAAGACAGTTAGCATTAATATCAAGGACTTATCTCCTCATTATAATATACACCCATAAACACAATCAATCCATATGTATAAAAATGTAATGTTAGTTTGAGTACGCTTCAAAAATTCAAAAAGTTCTACACCGTTTAATCTCAAATTATGACACGATATATAAACTGCTTCAAAGATGGTTCTTATCTATTTTTCGCGTCATATTTGTTCCTAATTTCTCATCAATGCAACTACAA